CCTGGAAGATGCTATAAAGTACGTGAAACAATTGCAAGAACGGGTAAAGATTCTGGAGGAACAAAGTGTGGATAAAACAGTTGAATCTGCAATCTTTGTGAAGAGATCTGTTGTCTTCTCCGGAGATGACAGCACCTACTCTGGTGAAAACTCTGACCAATCACTCCCCGAAATCGAAGCAAGAATTTCTGGCAAAGAGGTACTCGTCAGGCTCCACTGCGACAAACACAGTGGACGAACAGCTGCTATACTAAGGGAATTAGAGAACCATAATCTCACAGTTCAGAGTAGCAGCTTTTTGCCCTTCGGAAATAACACTCTTGACGTAACTATTGTTGCTAAGGTAAATATAGTAACTTCAATCGTTAAAGAATCATCTTCAATATTTCCGTTGAGTCATAGACATTATAAGAAATTATCTTTTAGTCTCAGGTCATCATGATCTCCGTCAATCTTTACATGTTACAAAACTAATTGTTGCTAGTTTTCTAAAATTAAAAAAAAAAAAATCAATTATGTATTATGTGAAGATTGATCAGAATCTCAGTCAGATGCATCATGTAAAATGTGATAATTTCTCGCAAACTAGGAGCACACTTGTTGATCAAACTCGTGTTTTTTTTTTTTTGCAGATGGGGAAGGACTACTGCTTGACTGCAAAAGATCTCATCAGAAGCTTAAGTCAGTGTTTGAGGCAGCTTTCGTAGGAAACAATTAACCAGTTCAAGCATCCACTCTGTAGCTACGTTAATTTGTTGCTGTGCATCCTTCACTATACAGGAAAAGAGCTTAATAAAAAGAGTTTTTATCACAGTGCTTTCTTTTTCCCTAGTCCATTATCTGGATTTGGGAGTAGCATATCAATGGCCTGTGACTGCTACTGTCTCCTCCAGTGTAGAGTTCAAGATGATGTCATGTTTCCTTTTTTTTTTCTCCACAGTTTTTGCGTAGTTGATTCATTAGCTACGTTAATACACCCCACGGTGGCATTTTCAAATCTCTACATCTGTTGTTTATGTTTTTCTAAAGAGGGTTTTTTAGAGGATTTGACTATGACCTCTTTCGTTCCTCTTTCGCTTTGTGAACAGGGTCGGGTTTCCTTGAAAAGCAATGTTGGCAGCATTTATTTTATGTTGTTCCATGTCGGATTGTGATGATCACTTCTGTATAAGATTATTATTGTTAATTACTAAATGTCTTACTCCCTTTATTTTGGATACTTGTGGGTGCATATCTTCAACAACTAATTAAACGAGATTCTCGCCATTTGGACTTATTTTGTTCAGGTTCATAACTCATGCAATCAACTTAAGGTTTATCTTTTAAAAAATAATTGCTAACATAGCTAGTTAACCATTTTTCTCAAGATACATGTGATTAAATAGTTACAAGAGGATCTTTTTACTATTCCTTATAAGACTCAAAGTTATGTTTTTTTTTTATAAGATGCAATGCTTACTATAGTTTGAATTACACTTTTCTTAGACTAAAATGCTCTTAACTAAAATTGAAAGATTGCAAAAACTAAAAAAAATAATTAAAGATAAGGATAAATTTGGAAAAGCAATGATAACAGGATTATTGCTACCAACTAAAGTTATCTACTTCTATATTCTGATAAATTAAATAATAGGATCTAATAAATATAAATGGTTAAAGTATTACAAATTGCTAAAAATAATTAAAAAAGTACATTACACGTTCAATAATAATAAAAAAAACTTATCTTGTAAATCCTTAATCATAACATGAAAACAATATAATAGGAAACATTTTCCTAATACAGGTTCTGCAAAATCTTATAAAGGCTATAATTTACTAATAATACACCAAATGTTGTGGAAGAAGTTGATTAATTTTAATGATTGCCATTGGATCATGGGTCCACATGACATTGTCAGAACTATTAAAATTTAACATGGGAAACCACTTAAACCTACCCAAAATTTTTAGATCTGCTTGCTAATATCTAGGAATCATTTAAATAAACACACAGTCGCAAACTTCTGGGTTGTAGCGTAAAGTTTATATTATGTTAACTAATATTAAAAAGAATAAATTTTAAGATGAACATATTAAAAATTATCTAGATCGACAATTAATTAAAATAGATAAATGTAAACATGTATTAGTCTTTGCGCGTTACAAGACGTTTAATTAATAGAAAATAATTATTCTTTTAAAATAAAATATTACCAATTTAGTCTTAAATAAATTTGTATGTATGTGTATACAAATTCTTGAGAAAGTATTATTTATGGAAAAAATAATTATATTGCACGATATCATGTTCTATACGTTATTATAGTTAAAACAAATATAACAATGTCTAATGCTCTCTGGACATAAAATAAAACTATCGTTATCATTAATAATACATTATAATTATACATCAACTTGTATGTTGCCAAGTCGATTTGATCAGAGCATGATCACTTCCATCCTTAATTAGTCTAATGGCGTGAGAATGCTTCATGATTTTATTTTAAAAAATTCAGTATAGATTGAGATTTGAAGTCTCATGACTCATTCAAGATGTGCAAAGAAAAACTCGTAGGAGACTTCAACCGAAAAAAAAAATGCAAAATTTGTTTCTTATTCATGGACATTGATTGTTAAATGAATTCTAATGTCATTTTTTTTTTGTATTTTTCTAATTTAATATTTTTTTAATTCTTATATAAGATATATTTAAATACAAATTGATGTTCCATACAGGTGGCTGCATAATTTTGGTACCGAAAGAAAGAAAGTAATAAGGAACAAAATTTAATTTGAACCATAATACATATACACTTTTATTTTACATACATCTATTAAGAAAAATGATTATTTGACACACCTAAATTTTTTACATTCATTTGATACTATCTTTCCTTACTTTTTCCTCTCTTCTTTCTTGAAAAAATACAAAATTTTACACTTTTATGACTATTTTACCCTTGTATATCCTGTGTCAAATGAATGTAAAAGTGTGTCATAGTATCATTTCTCATCTATTAAATACTTGTTTTTTTTTTCTTTTTANTTCTTCCGAGGTTTTGATTGTCTCTTTGTTCTCATTTTCAGTGTACCGAGGTGAAGGATGACACAAATCTCATCGACCGTGTACTTGCCTGACTTTGTAAGCACAGTGTGTACTCATCTCAACCATCATAACCTTGGATTTGAAGGAAATTAACTAATCACATATATAATTCCTGAATTCTTAAGTCTTACCTTAGTATTTTTTTTCTCGCATCAACAGGGAATGGAGGACCCCACTTTGTTTCATCAATACCCGATGGATTCCTTTCCATTCCAGCTCGATGATTTTGACTTTGAGTCATTCTCCGCGTCCCCAAAGGGTTCTTCCTCTCACAAGCGCTTGAGCTCCGAAAGCACACAAAACTCTTCCCTCACTCAAAGTCCTGAAACTTCTGTTGCCCCACCAAGACCAACCAAGCAACCCAAGACTACAATGAGTACCTGGAGTGCTTACGGCACTGACATGATAGCTCCCAAGGCTGCTTCCTCTTCGTCCTCTAAAATCATCTCCTTTGACAAATCCAGTGCATCTTCTGTTTCTTCCCAACAACTCTACAAACTCGATAATGCAAAACTACTGAAGAAGCCTAAAATTGAAACTGGGTATGGTGAGAACCTGGATTTTTCTGCTGTGGCTTCTCAAAGATTCTATGACAACAACAGTTTTCTAGACTATGATAAGCAAGAGAAAAAGGCTGCAGTTACAATGGCAAGAAACCCAACCCAAGCTCAAGATCACGTCATAGCCGAAAGAAAACGAAGGGAAAAGCTCAGCCAAAGGTTCATTGCTCTTTCAGCCTTAGTTCCTGGACTCAAGAAGGTACCCATTTTGTAAAACTTCATGCGTGATTTTCTTTTTCATTTTTTATACAATTGCGGCAACAAGTTTTTAACTTAGGACTTCGTATAAATTACTAGGTTAATTCTGATGGATTAATCTTTATGCATGATCCCTACATGTCAAACACAAAGTTCTAAATTGAATTCCCGGACACAGTAAATGTTTTCTGAATTACTGTAATCATAGAAATTATGGCGGTAATAAGTATGGTTACTGAAACCTGTGATTTGAAACCTTGAACAGGTGAAATACGTATCTTCTACTTTAACTGGGTGCAGTTAACTACTAAAACCAATTATTAGTTTTTTCCCTATAATTATGGGATAGGTAATTTTAGTGACAGATTTCAGTCACTAATCTTGATTTTAATTCTGCACGCAGAAACAATATTTGATTGCAATGTGCTATGTATAACTGGTATCATGTTTGTACGAGAATATTCTTTCTTATTAAACAATGAATTTATGCATGCAGACGGACAAGGCTACCGTCCTGGAAGATGCTATAAAGTACGTGAAACAATTGCAAGAACGGGTAAAGATTCTGGAGGAACAAAGTGTGGATAAAACAGTTGAATCTGCAATCTTTGTGAAGAGATCTGTTGTCTTCTCCGGAGATGACAGCACCTACTCTGGTGAAAACTCTGACCAATCACTCCCCGAAATCGAAGCAAGAATTTCTGGCAAAGAGGTACTCGTCAGGCTCCACTGCGACAAACACAGTGGACGAACAGCTGCTATACTAAGGGAATTAGAGAACCATAATCTCACAGTTCAGAGTAGCAGCTTTTTGCCCTTCGGAAATAACACTCTTGACGTAACTATTGTTGCTAAGGTAAATATAGTAACTTCAATCGTTAAAGAATCATCTTCAATATTTCCGTTGAGTCATAGACATTATAAGAAATTATCTTTTAGTCTCAGGTCATCATGATCTCCGTCAATCTTTACATGTTACAAAACTAATTGTTGCTAGTTTTCTAAAATTAAAAAAAAAAAAATCAATTATGTATTATGTGAAGATTGATCAGAATCTCAGTCAGATGCATCATGTAAAATGTGATAATTTCTCGCAAACTAGGAGCACACTTGTTGATCAAACTCGTGTTTTTTTTTTTTTGCAGATGGGGAAGGACTACTGCTTGACTGCAAAAGATCTCATCAGAAGCTTAAGTCAGTGTTTGAGGCAGCTTTCGTAGGAAACAATTAACCAGTTCAAGCATCCACTCTGTAGCTACGTTAATTTGTTGCTGTGCATCCTTCACTATACAGGAAAAGAGCTTAATAAAAAGAGTTTTAATCACAGTGCTTTCTTTTTCCCTAGTCCATTATCTGGATTTGGGAGTAGCATATCAATGGCCTGTGACTGATAATGTCTCCTCCAGTGTAGAGTTCAAGATGATGACATGTTTCCTTTTTTTTTTCTCCACAGTTTTTGCGTAGTTGATTCATTAGCTACGTTAATACACCCCACGGTGGCATTTTCAAATCTCTACATCTGTTGTTTATGTTTTTCTAAAGAGGGTTTTTTAGAGGATTTGACTATGACCTCTTTCGTTCCTCTTTCGCTTTGTGAACAGGGTCGGGTTTCCTTGAAAAGCAATGTTGGCAGCATTTATTTTATGTTGTTCCATGTCGGATTGTGATGATCACTTCTGTATAAGATTATTATTGTTAATTACTAAATGTCTTACTCCCTTTATTTTGGATACTTGTGGGTGCATATCTTCAACAACTAATTAAACGAGATTCTCGCCATTTGGACTTATTTTGTTCAGGTTCATAACTCATGCAATCAACTTAAGGTTTATCTTTTAAAAAATAATTGCTAACATAGCTAGTTAACCATTTTTCTCAAGATACATGTGATTAAATAGTTACAAGAGGATCTTTTTACTATTCCTTATAAGACTCAAAGTTATGTTTTTTTTTTATAAGATGCAATGCTTACTATAGTTTGAATTACACTTTTCTTAGACTAAAATGCTCTTAACTAAAATTGAAAGATTGCAAAAACTAAAAAAAATAATTAAAGATAAGGATAAATTTGGAAAAGCAATGATAACAGGATTATTGCTACCAACTAAAGTTATCTACTTCTATATTCTGATAAATTAAATAATAGGATCTAATAAATATAAATGGTTAAAGTATTACAAATTGCTAAAAATAATTAAAAAAGTACATTACACGTTCAATAATAATAAAAAAAACTTATCTTGTAAATCCTTAATCATAACATGAAAACAATATAATAGGAAACATTTTCCTAATACAGGTTCTGCAAAATCTTATAAAGGCTATAATTTACTAATAATACACCAAATGTTGTGGAAGAAGTTGATTAATTTTAATGATTGCCATTGGATCATGGGTCCACATGACATTGTCAGAACTATTAAAATTTAACATGGGAAACCACTTAAACCTACCCAAAATTTTTAGATCTGCTTGCTAATATCTAGGAATCATTTAAATAAACACACAGTCGCAAACTTCTGGGTTGTAGCGTAAAGTTTATATTATGTTAACTAATATTAAAAAGAATAAATTTTAAGATGAACATATTAAAAATTATCTAGATCGACAATTAATTAAAATAGATAAATGTAAACATGTATTAGTCTTTGCGCGTTACAAGACGTTTAATTAATAGAAAATAATTATTCTTTTAAAATAAAATATTACCAATTTAGTCTTAAATAAATTTGTATGTATGTGTATACAAATTCTTGAGAAAGTATTATTTATGGAAAAAATAATTATATTGCACGATATCATGTTCTATACGTTATTATAGTTAAAACAAATATAACAATGTCTAATGCTCTCTGGACATAAAATAAAACTATCGTTATCATTAATAATACATTATAATTATACATCAACTTGTATGTTGCCAAGTCGATTTGATCAGAGCATGATCACTTCCATCCTTAATTAGTCTAATGGCGTGAGAATGCTTCATGATTTTATTTTAAAAAATTCAGTATAGATTGAGATTTGAAGTCTCATGACTCATTCAAGATGTGCAAAGAAAAACTCGTAGGAGACTTCAACCGAAAAAAAAAATGCAAAATTTGTTTCTTATTCATGGACATTGATTGTTAAATGAATTCTAATGTCATTTTTTTTTTGTATTTTTCTAATTTAATATTTTTTTAATTCTTATATAAGATATATTTAAATACAAATTGATGTTCCATACAGGTGGCTGCATAATTTTGGTACCGAAAGAAAGAAAGTAATAAGGAACAAAATTTAATTTGAACCATAATACATATACACTTTTATTTTACATACATCTATTAAGAAAAATGATTATTTGACACACCTAAATTTTTTACATTCATTTGATACTATCTTTCCTTACTTTTTCCTCTCTTCTTTCTTGAAAAAATACAAAATTTTACACTTTTATGACTATTTTACCCTTGTATATCCTGTGTCAAATGAATGTAAAAGTGTGTCATAGTATCATTTCTCATCTATTAAATACTTGTTTTTTTTTTCTTTTTATTTCTCTTTTCTTATCATGTCATATTTTGTAAATCTATATTTTTTTCTCGCTTTAAATATATATTAGGTATTGATCGCTATTTTGAAGGTGTATTATATATTAATAATTTTCTTATAGTTTTTGAGTTCTTGTATTACATTAGGTAAAGGGGGAAAATGCTATAAAAGGATTAAGGTGAGAAACAGTAGAAGTTTTGAACCTTACACAGCAGCGGAGAGATCTCGGAGGTAGCTTTGACGAGAAGAAGATAGTCGCATTACTTTAAACTCCAAACATAACTAAGACAATCTTCCAAAAAAAATACTTAACTAAGACTGCATTATTAAGTTTTCATTATTAAATCTAATGTACTTATTATAGTGTTTATCACGACAGTGATAGTAGTTTTTTTAATATCTTTAATTAAATAGTTAAATGACCACGAAATCATGATACACGTGGTTAGAATGACAAGTACAACACTAAAACAGTTGTCACACGTTAACATGTATTAACTGTTAAATTTCAGCTAATCTTTCCGTTTAAAATTAATTTGAGTAATTAGTGTAGACAATCTTACGTCACCTAGCAATATTGAAAAAGATCTAAGTTTAATTTTGACGTAATTTTAACGGAGATGTGTTATACTTTCATTTAGTTATAAATTGCATTAAATATAGTTTCATTTTGAATTAATTATTAAAAATTGAATTATTTAAAAATTATGTTGAATATCGTTTCGAAAGAAAAATTATATGGTAATGTAGACTTTAAACATTAAACTGCATAAAAAAGAATAACAAGGGTGTACTTTGTTTCTCTTTTCAGTTTTAATTTTAAAAACTAGGTTACATTATTCATTTAGTTCTTACTATGGACATTTTTTTCCCTTTAATACCTATATATATATATATATATAAAAAGTTGAACTAATTATACTATTCATAGAAAATGGTATAACTCAACTCCACATAATCCACTACCATGTTAAGAAATGAACTTGAAACCTAACTCAATCTCACAAAACTGGCTTGTAGGGTTAGCTTTGCACCCCGCTTATATATATATATATATATATATTATAATTTGGTTTTATCTCTAGTCGATGTGAGACTTCCAATACACCCTCTTCACGTCGAGATATAGACATCTCGAGCCAACCACGACTCTAATACCATATTAGAAGTGAGTTTTAAGTCTAATTCAACCCCACAAAATCGGCTTGTAAGGTGAGATTTGCACCTACTTATGTATTATAAATTGACCTTATCTCTAGTCGATATATGACTTCAAATACGTTTTGCAAAAATTGTGATAAAATAACATTTTTTAAGGACATGTCAACACTTTGCGACACATTTTATATAGTAATAAAAAAGTGTGAAAACTAAAATTATAATAATAAAACATAGAAGAAGAAAAAATTGGGCAGTAAAATTTTGGGAAATGATATATAGTCGAGTGATAAAAGGAATTAATCGTACATGTGAAACCATTATGTTCTCAATAAAGAGATATCTAAATTTTACTAATTCGGAATTAAGATTTTTCAAAATTAAATAAACATAAATAGATAAAAGATGTTTTATTATCTTAGTATTATTCATCAACAATCCTAAATTACATTTTGCAATGCAAAATCCAATCGTGCACCAACTTAGATTTAGTGGATCAGAAACTGACACTGTTGAGTTTATTATAATTTTGAGTTTAGATCTAATTCATATCAAAATAAATTTAATATACAATAGTCCCACTTACGTATATATATCCTTTGTGGTTAAATCTATTATCCATTTCTAGTTTCAAATATGGTATTTGTAAAAGTAAATATTTAAGCAAATATTTATAAATAATATAGTAACAATTCAATAATAAATTACTTGATAATTCCTTTGAGTTATTAATATCTAATTATAATTTAATAATAAATCATTCAATAATCTCCTTAAACATTATTAGAAAAAGTTTTGGATGGTCTTTTACATTTTAAGTTAAATATGCCAATCCTAAAAAGTTAACTAAAAAATAACATTTTTTTATAAAATATTTTAATTATATATAGAGAGAAAACAAACACGGCTATTATGCTAGAAAAAAGTTTACCATGAGAAAGACTAAAAGAAGATAAAATAAATAAAACTAATATTTTACATGATATATCATTCACGTAGTAGTAAAGATTAAAACTTAAAAAAAAATAATTAAATAACATAAATAATATTTGATATCACAATATTTATATAAATAATTTCAATTCATTTCAGTTTTTTAATGTAACTTTTCACATCAAGGATTGAATATATTGAATGTGCAAATAGTCAGTGGGGTAGATAGGATGACACAAAAGGTCTAAATCACATGCTTTTAATGTCAGGGTGATATGAAAGATATATTACCTAAAAAAGGGAAAAAAAAAACTAGCAGGAGGTTAACTGAAATATATTATAACTTGTAAGATATAATAAGCTCATCAACTATTTTCACATATTTATGAGGTGTTTTTGTATTAGTCAAACTAACTTATTATCTTTACTAACACATTTTTTTTTATTTAGAGTATAATAGATTTTAAATATATGATTCATTATGCAAAAAAATAAAGTTAAGGACCGCATTAAAAGCGTTATATAT